GACCCAATGAAAAGCACAATTATTTTTAGCTTATTTTACACCAAGAAAATGGTGTAGAGTGTTATCCAGCTTTAAACGTCTGTCAGTTAAGAGCTAGTACTGCTGCCAGCAGTCACAGCCATTTGCTACTCTCAGTAAACCCACGAGCACCCACATCACTTCCTCCAGGAGCGCTGCTGTGAGTGCAGCCCGCGGAGTATTTGAGTCGAGCCGCTTCTGTTCCATCGCAGCAGCTGCAGACAGCGCGCTCCATCCTGTGGCTGAAACCGGTACCTCAAAAGCAGCTCTCATCTGCCATCAGGTTTAAGCAAAACTGGATTTAACGTGTTCTCAGGTGCTACGCAGCCTACGTGCGCATTGCCAGCAAGGCAAAACAATTATGCAGTAACCAGGATTATTTTTTTTTAAGGCTGTGTCAGATTTGATCAGACTGAAGTTAATAACTGCTCTTATAACCTGATGCGGCGCTCATTTATCAGGCAACTTGTACACTTCTGAGTGGCAGAAGAGGCATTTCGAATGGCTTTTACAGCACAGCATTCGACAACATAATGCACTCATTTACTACAGTTTGAAACCAGTGCTTTGCACGTGGAAACCAGTTTTATTATATAAATAAAACAACCAAACCCAAAAGAGGAAAAAAGTGCTGTGTCCAAAATCAAATGGCAACAGATAATGCAAAAATAAAATATTTTAAGTGTTTTAGGATTGCTTATGTGTAGGGCCATGTGCATTTGCACATGTGTATGTACCCATGTCTGTGCATGCATGAGCTCATGTCTGCATGTGCGTGCCTTGGTTTGCATTCACTATTTTGTAACCTAACAAAAAAAAAAAAACTGTCAGAAAAGCTGACTTTCTTTTATAGCCTCAGCATAAGCAAAATACACATTCCCTCCACTGCTTTTTTCAAGAGATATCATGATGTGAAGTCATCAGTCTGTTACCACCTTTGTGTAGCAACCCATCAGCAGACAAGCAGTTCCTGGGATGGTAACACATGGAGGATTTCAAAGCAAACAAGAACCATATACATTATTTACATGATTTGCTATTTTTGGTTCTGCATTTTATACAGAAAACCAAAATGAATGATTCTGATGCTTCAGAACGCAGTCAACAATTTTACCATAGACATCATTACGTATCACACAGTAGTTAAAATTTTCTTCTTCTGGTCACTAGCATAAGAAACTAAACAAAGGTAGGGGCTTCCTATTTGTGACTTCGTTACCCTTACACATTCTTCATTTCAGCTGACCTTTAACAGTGTGTAGTAGAAATGCTGAGTCACAGCTTGAAGCAGTGATAGAGCACCTGATGGGAAGGCAGGGCCAACCCAGGGGAGCTCAGGTGCAGGCAATGTGCCTGAGTGATTGGAAGGGGTGGAGCCTGGATCCAGCCCATCCCAGACCATTTAAGGGTTGGCAGTAGAGGTGAGGATATTTTACTGGAGATCCCTGCATGCCTGAGGTCTTCTAAAGGTAAGCAATTTTCTTCCTTTGTTTCTGAGTCCATGGCTGCTGCATTTGGGCTTATCCTTGCTACCCTGCTATTGTTGCTGTGCTTTCTATCGCATTATAGTGTTACAGTATTCTCACAGAAATAGGTAACAGAATAAATCAAGTTCAATGCCTCTTAATTTTATCATTACAGCTCCAAGTCATTAAGTCCTGATTTCTTTCAATGTTAGAAGCATGATTTCAGAGACAGTGGATCAAACACTAAAGCTACTGTAAATGTTACATGAAACATTTTTGGCTTTTTATGATTTGGATTTTTGTTTTCTTTGAATGACATTTGGGGAACTTTTTCTTGCTTCTTTAATGTTTTGGTCCCTTCAAGTAAATAGTAGGAATGTTAAATTATACCAAAAAATAAATTACCTTTCCTTCCAGTGAACATCTACAGACACCATTTCAGCGACAATCTCTAGAACACTGAGATCTGTGGGAAGTGTCACTCACTAAACAATCTGTTCTCCTTGTAACAAACTAAGAGGATTACCCACACCATTCAACCTTTAAAAAAAAAACCGAAACACTAGAATCTTGGTATTGACAATACGACTTTTGCTTCAACATTCATGCAGTAATTGAGTAATTAAGTATACAGTGAGGCTGTGGCTTGACTCATCACTGAGTCATTGTAGGTCTGTTAAATAGGTTCATGACATTAAGCCATGCTTTCAACCGTGGAGTCCTTTCAAGCTCAACTTTACAGGACTTGTCAGTCAGTTAAGTTTGCTCCAAAGCAAAAAGTCTTTTTTGTTTTTCTTCTTTGCTGGTAAAGCAATAGCCTAAAGAAGGGGGACAAGCTGCAGACAGAGGTCCCCAAACATTACAATCACCATGGCTGTCTCCAGAGCAGTGGCAGAAAATGTTACTGGCCTAGGACAGCACAGTCACATATATACTCCTCACATCCATTCCCAGCTTGAAGGGCTTCTGGACACACAGAGATGGTTAAAATGAGCTCCTTCATGGGATGCTCACATACCAGTTTGAGCCAGGAAAAAAGATTGCTAAAGGCAGGCTTTCAGATCAATGGAAGGACAAAAAAAGAGACAATTACCACACCCACATCAAAACCAACTGATGAAAGGCAGTGCAAGATTTATCTTTTCAGTTGTTTCAGACATTCACTTTGATCCCACTGGAGAGGCTTTTAAGGGCTCAGACAACTATTGCCAAAGGCCAGGTGAGAGAAGGGGCCGGTACTGCCAAGTGGTTTCAATTGAATTCCAGAAGAGAAAATACTTCTCAGCACTGCTTTTTGTAGCAGTTAGCTTGAGTATGAGCAATGGAACCATGAAAAGGAGGGAGAGGGGGAAAGATGGAGGTAGTTGTTGAGCTGTAACTTCCAGACATAGGATGGACAGACTTTAAAAGCCCAGTAGAGTGAAGGGTAATCTTAAAATTCATAAGGAGACACTCAACCCTCCTTCAATTAATGATACAGACGCAGCAAAATGTTTCTTCAGGTATCCAACTTGCATGCTGCTATTGCAGCTTTATTATTTATTGCACTTTATCCTACTTTTGAATGTCAGAACTGATTCTAGTCTAACAGTAAGGTACCCAAATACCTGAAACAAGGTGTTGGAGTGGGAGAACTTAGAAGTGATGTGTAGCAACACATCAGAGCCCACATTTAACCTTACACAGCAGTTAGAGAGGCAGAACAAAGTTTGTATTGCAAGGGATTTGTCTCACATCACTCATGATATGATAATTAAATAGCTTTAAACAATTTTCCTCATTACTTGACTAAGTAATCTTATCTTGCTTAAACCCAACAATTGAAAGGCTGCAGAGCTGTAAACCTTTTACAGTTTTAACAAACTGCAACTGAGGAAATTGCACATCCACATCAGCACACCTGCATTATTCAACCAACCATTAGCAGCTGAATACAAAAAGGAAAGTGTAATACTGCAATGCATGCATTTAATCCCACTCCTGAAGCATTTCAAGTCAGGTTTACTTTGCAGGACTACAATTGCTGCCTACTCCTAAGTTTTTGAGGACTCTACCATTTAAGAATCTCACAGTCACATCAGTTTTTAAGGATGAGCTATCTCACTCTTCTTTAGAAGTCTTTAACTGCTTGGTAATTCAAAGCCTAGCACCTGGGTGGAGCAGGGGAGTTATAGAGATTACACCACATACACTATGAAATAATCCAAACATAACTCATGCTGTGTTCTTTTCTACCCTTCACTATCACCACAGTGTAATTACTTTGCTGAATTACCTACACTTCTGAAGCAGTGTATTTTTGTGAGATCACTTGAAGGCTTCCCCACCCAGTAAGTCAGCAGCAGGTACTCAAGCTAGCAGTAGCAACCAGGACACACACCAGTTAGTAAACTCTACAGAGAAGAACCTGTAATACGAAGCTGAAGCAAAATGAGGCAGCAGGAAGTTCCAGTGGGATGTTAAGTCAAAGTTTTTCTTTTCCCAAGGCAAGTGTGACATTCCTCATTTCCTCTGCAGTCTCAGTGAGCTGAAGTGCTTGCAATCTCAATTTTAAAATCCCACAGAACTTAAAACTTACACAAATTATATAATATTGTTCTCAAACATTTAATAGTCAATTCTTGCTGATATGCATCAGAATGAAGTGTTAAGAAATGCTCAAGTAGGAGTTATGTATACAAACATGCAAGTTAAAAGGAATGAAATGCTCCACTTTATTAAGAAACAAAAAATACAAAACTGAAGAGTTCCAAGGCTTCACATACTCAAACACTACTGAAAAATGGTATTTTTGTTTACTGGTAGTACTAATGTTGACCAAGATTATTCTCTATAAGTGTTGATGTTTTCCATCATTTGTGCTGGAATAAGCTAGTTTCAAATTAAGAACTTGGTGCAGTTACAGTAAAGTCCAGGTATTACATGGGGTTTCAGTTAATATGTTGTTCTTTAGCCAAGAGCATTTTAAGCTCATCTACGACTGTCTTCTAGTTAGTGAGTTTTAAGATGCTTAGTTTCATCAACTATAGCTCTACTGAATGATGCTCCATGCAAAGATACAGCTTGTAGTCACTTAACAGACCTAAATGTCATTTATTCTTGGCTACTTAAGAAAACAGCTCTGTGAAGGCATGTTGTAATAATGCAGTTAAAGTTAAGAGACAGTATCTAAAGGTAGCATATGCCAGCTGAACTACATACTTAACTCTCACGACACTCCTCAAGCACATAAACATTCCCACTCAGTGTGGGTCAATTTATGCTTGCTAGCAGTCCAGCTCCACACACCAGTCAAGTGTTCACTGCTTTAGTTTTACCTGGCAGTTAGTTCAGCTTCCTTTAGATGCTTTAGTTATATGCTTCAGGAAATGAATGAAAGGTTACCTGTTAGCTCTGTTTTACTAAGAGGAGCATAAGAAAGGGAAGAGAATATTAAGAATGCAGAGACAGACAAGCATTAGCCTCAGTTAAAAAACACTTTCAAGACTTTCTAACAACGCATGAAAATTCACTTGCTTAGAGATATTTGAAATACAACTTTATTATCTAAACAAAAAAAAAAAATGGGAATGACAGAAACAAGATTAACCACATAACACTTTGATGTGACTGCAGCAGTCTTATATTTGAAACTCAAAAGGGAAAGTAATTGCAGTCCAAAAAACAGCTAAATATGCAGGTCCAAAATTATGAAGTTTTGTTGTTTTTTTTTTTTTGTTTTGAACTGCCACACTCACTCCGAAGCCCATTCATCTCTTTCAGCATCCCAAAGATTAAGCACATGTTCTGCTCAGCTAGATAATAAAGTGGCAAACACGCTGCACCACTGACATCACAGGACAGTTGCCTATAAAACTAGACTTCTGACGCTGGGCTCCAGCTTCATCCCTCACAGGTCATCATCTTCATCTGGCAGTGCAGTGGTTTGAGCAATCTGGAAAAGAGAAGTAACATTAGGAATTGTTCATGGTTACTTGCCCCAGGAATCCAGATACTATCTGCCAGGTAATCTTTTTACTTTAGCACTCTTCCTCAGTTACCTGTAAGTCTTGCTCATACTGTGCTGCCAGTGCTGGGTCCATAACAACTTCAGGTGGTGCAAGAGCAGGCATGGCAACAAATTCCAAGTTAGGATCTCCAATTAGCTTCCTAGCAAGCCAGAGGAACGGCTTCTCGAAGTTGTAGTTACTCTTGGCTGAAATGTCATAATACTGGAAAAAAAGTATATTTAATACATAAGACTATTTACCACCAATATTAGAACATAATATGACACACACAATCAGCTCTAATGTCTTGGTATTTTTTAACTTCATGACTTCTGTCTATGCCCTCAGTAGCATTTGAAATATGAGAGACTAGAAATGTAGTTTCATACCAATAGGCAGAAATTGATACTCTTAAGAAACAGTGTGAGCAAAGATGATTTCTGGACACAACAGCACCTCTACTTTTTCCCTGTGACTTGGTCTAGTTTCATCTTATTCCTAACTCTGAAGGACTGAACAGCACACAAATGCACTTAACAGACTTAATGAATCTCTAATCCTGCAAACTCATGCCATCATACCTGGAGATTCTTCTTCCTGTGGAAGACAATGGATTTTGCCTTGACTTTTCTGTCCTTAATATCCACTTTGTTGCCACACAACACTATAGGGATGTTTTCACATACCCGTACCAGGTCTCTGTGCCAGTTAGGTACGTTCTTGTAAGTAACTCTTGATGTTACATCAAACATTATAATGGCACATTGAGCTGTAAAAAAAAAAAAAAAAACCCAAACAATTACATCAGACAAAAAAGCACTTTCTTATAAAATGGAGTGGGAAAGAATACCCACAATAATCACTTATTGGGGCATCAGAATTAGCTTTCTCCTCAGTCTCACAGTTGAAAATACGCTGTTTGCCAGATCAGATGCGGGAAGATCAGGGTGCAGGAGCCCATAGAACTCAGCCCATGACCCTGTCCCTGTCATCTTAACTTAAATGCCAACCAGTTTTATTCATGCAGCTGTCCTGTGAACATTCTGCTGTTGTATGGCATGAATTACACAAGGGTTACGAAAGAAAATTCACCTAAATACCTGAGAAAACCATCTTAACACCTACTGAACTAATCTCAGCCTATCGAGGTTTTCAGATAAGTTGAGAGCTTGTAGTTCACATCTCAGAATGCCCCTGTCCAGAACAGCTTGCAAAACAACACTTGATTCTGATATTTCTTAAAAGTCAGTCTTTAAGCCTCCCTTCAGAATGTTAAGAGCTATGCAGGTGACTTAAGTACTCACAAAACAGAGCTTGAAGATAAAGAACTATCACTGCATCTTTAGAAAGGCAACTACATACACTTGCTAGAGGCTTGAACTTCTTTATACTATTTCAAGTTTTACAGTTTGTTTCTTCCAAGACTCTGCACCAGCACAAGATACTAATACAGGCAATTTTTGCTCACTCAAGCACACTTATCTCTTAATCACTTAATTTCATGAGAACTATCACTTAAGGTTCATGATTACTCTCCAGTGATATCAAAGCAGCAGCAGACTGAAACTAAGTTTTAGTACAGAAACCTGTCTGATCATATTTATACAGAGTTTGAAAACTCATAAAGCAACTCACCAGTGAAAGCCCCAGTGAAAGCTTTTAGAGTGGTCAAACTGAATAGAATACAGGATCTCTCTACATATAAACGCATCTTACCTTGGATGTAATAGCCATCTCGCAGACCACCAAATTTCTCCTGGCCAGCTGTGTCCCATACATTAAATTTAATAGGGCCTCTATTAGTATGGAATACCAGAGGATGAACTTCAACACCCAACGTTGCTGCAGTGATAGGAAAGAGCACTCAGTAAGTTGAGAACTATACTTTCAATTGTAACACACTAGATCTTGAATATTTCTTTGGACATACCTACGTATTTCTTCTCAAATTCACCAGTCAAATGACGTTTTACAAATGTTGTTTTACCAGTGCCACCATCACCAACCAGGACAAGCTGTTAATACAATTGAAAAAGAAGGTCAGAGTGACGTACTTTGTCTTACAAAATACTGTAAAGCAAACACTGAAGTTTCCAATGAAATCACTTACTGTGTTGGCCTCTAATTTGTTAAACCTGTCATTCGATAACTCCTGACCAAACTCAGCTGGTCCTTATAATTGAGAACTAGAACACATTGTCCATACAGTTATACTAACATACAAGCATCTCAATTACTGGAGGAAAGAACTGTAATCTTGCAATTGGAAAAAAAAAAAAAAAAACTGTTTTACTAACAAATGAGATATACTGGATGAACACTGTAAAAAAAAAAAAAAGTATCAGTCTTCCATTAAGCAGTCTTAATGACTTCTGGCTGTTAAAGTAACAACTCTACTCAATAATGCTCTGCCCCCAGTAGTTGATACAACATAAAACAGTTGCTCTAAATAACTCTTAACACTTTCTTTATTGCTGTGAATATCACTCCATGCAGTCAACACATTTTAAATGGCGCTTTATGTAACGTTATTTTTATATAGAGCTGCAAATAGCACCAGATTGATAGTGCAACAGAATGTTGTTGTAAAGCAATGCAGCACACAATGGGTTAGGCACACTGCTAAGAAGTCAGAACTTTAAAACCAAATCTACCATCCACAGCAGTTCTTGAGAGTTGTTCTTGCTACTCTTCTAAAGTAAGAGGAAGAAAAATACAAAGTTAAGACTCCTTACCTTAAACTGCACTTGGGGCTCTCCTTGGGCGGCCATGCTGGGTCTGCAAGGGAAATGGAAGCATGTGAGCTCACAGACGCGAGCTGGTTCAAGGCCCCGCCGGAAGGGGCCGGCCGCCGCTTTCGGCTCCCAAGCCGCCTCCCGGGGCGCGTGCTTCGCGCGCCAGTCAGCGGCCGTCGCCGCGTAGGCCGAGCTACGGTCCGGGCCGCCGCTCCCCTCTCTGCGCGTGGTCCCGGGCCTCGGATGGGGCAGTAAGAGCCTCCGGGCCGCCCCGCACGCGGCGGGAGCGCGCGGTAATGGCGGCAACGGCTCCCCGCCCGGCCCCGGAGCCCGTAACGGAAGGCCGCCGCGCCCCTCGGGCTTCCAGGCTACGAAAACGGGGCCGAGCCGCGGCCTCCGCGGGGCGCCTCAAAGAAAGCCGGCCTCGCTCAATAGTAAGCGACGCTCCGCGTGACTCTCCTAGCCCATTGGAAAACCCTCTTGGGCGGCGAAGCTCCGAACTCGTCCCGCAGGGCTCCGAACGCGGCCCCCATCCCCGCAACGCCGGCCGGGCCCCACAGCACCATGACTGAGCAGCGCGCCGCCTCCCCTCCCCCCGCGGCCGCCCGGGCCGTTGGAGGCCCCGCTCCCATTCTCCTCCCGCCCGCCCTTTCCTCCGAGACGGAGACGGGCGCCGTTCTCGTCCCGCACCGCTCCCATCGAGGGGCGGAGGCCAGGGCCGCCACGCAGGCACGGCGCCCGGCACGGCACTCACGCGGGCCCGGCCTCGGCTCGACCCAGCCCGGCTCCCGCAGAGCGGCCGCTAACGGAAACCACCCCCACCGCCCCATTCGCGGCGGTCCCGCTTCCCCCCACCCGGCCCTACAGGGAACAGAAGGACGTCCCGACCCCGTTACCTTTCCCGAGGCTTCTATCCGCGTCGCTCCGTGCCGTGACTGGGCGCTGGAAAGATGGCGGAAGCGCGGTTCAAATACCCGGAGAGCGACGCCGCGCGGCCGCGGGGAGGAGGAGGGGCCGGCGTCACGTGGGCGGGCGGGCGCGCCGTCGGACCCGCGGCGGCCGTTGTTAGGCGCCATGGCCGCGGCTCGGTGGGTCGGCTCGGTTCCGCAGGATCCGGCGCCTCATGTCTCTGCGCGGCCGGCAGCCGTTGGACCACGCGGCTGCCGCTGGAAAGGAGGCGGCTGGGCAGTGCTTGGCTCCGCGCTGCCCCGTAGCATTTCTCTAAACCCTCACGTTCAGAGCGTAGCGGAACGAAGTTGTTCGTAAACTCTCTTTGAAAGGACGGAGCAGATGCTTTGCAGAGAGCGATGCATTCCCAGTTTCTGGCTTCACACTTGTGTCCGTGTGCTCTGATTTTTCCCCTGCTGTGGTTAGGCAGTGTTCGTGTGGTCTGCATAATGCTGGTTGGAGCATCCATAATCTAGAATTGATGGATTTTTAAACGCCTCTGTCCTGAAATAACACCAGTGTTATTCAATGGTAGATGTTACAAGCAAGTGCAGCTTATGTCCTGTTCATCTCCCACTTCGTAGCAAAATGGAGAGAAAATCTGCAGGAGCCACTGCACTTTGCTCTACATTTTGTTTATTTGATAGCAATTGAATCTTAAGCATTGCATAAGATTTTCTTTGTTGGAAAAACACTGTCTTGCTGAGCTGGTTGCTTCTTTTCTTTTTTCTTTTTTTGGACAAACTGGATTTTTGGTGCTTGTTCTGTTGGTGTTCTTTAGCACGTTTGCTGATCACCTCCAGGTGCTAGGAAGAATATGGAATATGTTTTGGAGGATGTAGCCCATACATTTTCCTCAGCACAGTAATACCTTTATAAAACCCATGTGAATTCTACTCTTCTTCTTGACTAATAGGTGTACATTTATAAATAGGAGCCCACAAAGCCAAGTTAATGGAGTTTGGCAGTTTTTAATATAAAAACTTCCAGGGAATAAAAAAATCAATCTCTAACTTTGTTTGCAGAATGCTCAGTGTACTTCACAAGCTTCTCAGAGTAAGAAATTTATAAGTTAACAATCTTCTCTTTCAAACATGAGCAGTAATACTATTTGATACTTTAACTTGGAATAAGTAAAATCAATGGCTAAAAGTCCCTTACCACAAGTTTTGAGCTCCCATCAAATATTTGCAAAGTCTTATAAATTATTGCGTGGGATCCAGGTGTTATCATCATGCAAAAGTCAGTGTTCAGTTCAGAGGATGTACAAAACACCTGCTCCTGATAGCTTCATCCAGGAAAGGCAACAGAATGCTTCCAAAGTGTTCATCAGCAGTGTTAGATCACTATCTAAGAGATTAGCCAGCTATCACTAGATAATCAGCAGAATAATTACCTTGAAAACACTTCTACGTGACATTCCCCATATCTTGATTTTGGTCAGCCATGAACAAACTCAGCATCTCGCTGAGGCAGACAAGTGTGCAAGGTAAAAGGCAGACCCTTCAGTAAGGGTGTGAAGGTGCCCATGAGGAATGGTGCAAAAGGATACAGTCACAGAGCTGAATGATATCTTAACTTACTGACTGCCTTATTAGCAGGAAACAAAATCAGTTTGTAAACTGTGACAAGGACAACATGTGGACATATCTCTCAGGTCAAGCAGTGATTGTGGAAGCATCTCTGGAATAGGAGCTCCAGCAGGAGCCAAGGTCTACGCTGATATTCAAGGCAACACCAGAAACTGCACTGAAAGGTTTGAAGGGAGGTTAGTGACTTTCAGCACGGCAGGCAAAATGGATCACACGCTAATAATAGCAGTTTATGGTGCTGTCATGAAGTTTAAATTTGCAGTCTAACACTAGAATAAAATTCTTTACTGCATTGGGGGTCCTATCACTGCAAGGCAATGCTTTTCAACGCCTTGTAGCTGAAGAGTTACAAAAAGTGGGTGCTCCATCTGCTGCTGCAGGAGAGTGTGCTTCTCCTTTCCACTCAGAAACGGGTCGCTCAGCTGCCGGGCGGTGAGCAGCAGCCCGCGCGCTGCTGGGACTAACCGTGATTTTGAGAAGCCTATCCACGTCGAACACCAGAGAAAAATTAAATGAAATGCAACGACATGGCAACGTTTTACAACTCTCTCCCTCGCGACAGTCACGGTTTCTTGAGGGTATATATTCGGCAGCACTGCCGCCTCGAGAGCGGAACCTCCCTGCGGGTCACGGCAGTACCATACAGCCGCGCGCGCCCCTGTACACGCACGTACGCTTTCCCGCCCATTCTCCCCACGGCACAACCCCGCCCCCTCCGCTCGCGCAGCCGCAGATCCCTTCCCGCCCAGCATCGCCCGCCCGTCGCGTCAGAACTAAGGCGGGCTTCCCGGTGCGGCGGGCGCCGCCGGGGGCTCGTAGGCCGCATGCGCGAGGCCTCGTAGCGTCACTCCGGGGCACTGGGGGCGGGTGCGCGCTGCGCCGCGGGCTCCGGTTCGTCGAGACGTCGTGTGGGGAGGGGTCGCAGCCGCCGCCCCACGCACCGCGGAAGGAGGGCGGGGCCCGAGCGCTGGGCCCGGCCTGAGCGGGGTGGCGGCGGCTACGGCGGCTGCTGCGAGCGGGCGGCGAAGGGCGAGCGGACCCGCGGGCGCGGCACTCGGCGAGGAGCTGGGGCGCCGCGGGGATGAAGGACCGGCTGGCTGACCTAGCAGAGGTGAGGGCGGCAGGGGCCAACATGGCCGCGGGGCGTAACGGTCGGAGAGGGGTGCGCGGCCCGGGCCGCCGCAGCGGCGCCACAGGCGTGTCCTCGGGCGGGAAATGCGCGGGCTGCGGGGCTCCGGCCGTGCCAGGCGCGTTTTGCTGCCCTGCGGTGCGGGACGGGAGACGTGTAACCGGCAGTGCGTCGGTTCAGCTCTCCGTAGGGTTTATTTTGCCCGTGTTGACAAAATGGAAGCGTGGCGTGTTTATCCGTTCCCTTCCTTCCCTTCGTTTTTGTTCTGGAAACGACGTTCTGGGAAAGAAAATGGGGTAGTTAGAGGGAGGTGCGGCGATGCCTCTCATCAACAGGATGTGGCCTGGTATAAATGAAAATTTTCCTGCATGGCTTTTCACTTTTTTTTTTTTTTTTTTTTTTCTAACCTGAGAATAAATAGAAATGGTGAACGCCAGTGTATGTTGTAAATGCTCTCCCTTTTTGGTTAAGTGTGGTATTTCTTTTAGAGGAAATAGAAACTGAAGTTTGCATGTTGTTAGAAGTGGTAACGCCTTTCTTGAGCCCTCTTTTTGAAAGGGAGAAAAATGTTACCTGTCAGTGCTTGTGGTTTATTAAGGTATAACATTGTAGCTTTTTGATATTGTTGTTAATACATTGTATTTGGTACTTAAATAGTGTTAAAATACTTGCTGGAGAAAGAAATTGCTTGCCTGTAACAGTTACTATAGCCTTCAGGTATTACTGCATCCGCTTTGCAACTAGAGGAAATCATGCTTTCTATAGAAGGTGGGAACCTTAGTGTTGTGCTGAACCTGTTGGCTGCCTGGTACACCTTGACTGTCAGCAATGGAGCAATGTCGGTGCTCTGAAAGAATCTCTTGAAACACGTGTGGTTTGAGTAAACATTTGCGGGTCAGGGGGAAGTCTGGTGTCTACAGATTTCATGACACCTGGGGCAACACCTCTGCAGTAGGAAATTCTCTAATAAGTATTTAAGGAGGCTTAGAAGACTTCAACTTTAATGTGGGACCTACGGAGATCAAGTCCAGCTTCCTGACCTCTTCAGTTTTAACCAAAAGTTAAAGCATTGAGAGCATTATCCAAACGCTACCTGAAGACGTGGGATGTCAAACCACCATGCCAGGTTGTCTGCTCTAGTTTCTAACCACCTTTGTGGTGAATAACTTCCTAGTGCCTGATCCAAACCTCCCAGGTGCAGTTCTGTGCTGTTCTTGTGTAAGCTGACATCAGTTCTGTGAGAAAAGAGCCCAGCACTGCCTCTGCTTCCCCTCCTTAGTAAGTTATAGGGAGCAAGGGCATCAACTTAGTCTCCTTTTTCTCCAGATTAGATAAACCATATGATTTGAGAGTGCATAAAAACACATTAAGTAGCATTTTTTAAAGTTAAAGGTTGCTTGTTTAACAAAGGTAATGAGTTACCTGGGACAGGCAACCATAAAGATTTACAGTGTCCTGAACATTGCTTCCTTATACGCCGTTCAGTTCTATGAATAACGTGGGAGTGCGTGTGTAAAGCTATGGTGTGCAGGGGCAGCTGTGAATCTGGTATTTGTGACTCTCAGACATGTTTCTATCCCAAATAACTTCAGACAGCACAGTTTATTTCGCCTGTAAGTTCTCTGTGCAATTTTTAAAGGTATTGTAAGTTGTGCATGGACAGCAGCTAAGCACCTGCTGCATTCTCAGAGTGGAGGTAGATGGGGTGTGGTGGTGCTGTACTTCAGGAGCTGATTTCACTGCAGTGTTCTGCTCCAGTCTGTCAGCTGGTTGGCTCTGACTCACTGGGGTGGTGATGGTCAGTTCTTTTTGTAGCCTGACACAAGAAGACAGCTCATGATCTGCAGTGAGAATGACTTTGAATTGAATTCAGGGGCTAGTAAAAGTCATTTTTAAACCAAAAATCTGTTCTATTTCAAAATTTAGTAATTAATTTGGTAAGGGTTCTTGAACTAGCCTAATTTCTGCCATTATGGAAGGCATGCATAATATCAGAAGTTGAATAAAGCATCCCATCTCAGCTGGGAGCTGAGAGAAATATTTGCCCAAGTATCTGGATTCTGTCATTTAACCCCACCTTTGAAGAAACTTGATGTGTTTTGTATGTCTGAATGTTAGAGGTGTATGGCCCAGATTCTCAATCCCAAGGTCAAGATTAGAGCTGCCAACAGACCATTAGCTTGCCGTTGGCATCAACATGAGACTTTTTTAATCAGTTCTTTTTGTAATAGTACTTATTCTATAGAGATAAGGCTTAGGAATATGTTTCTGCTAAATTTCATCTTGGATGGACTGTGCTTGTCAAAAGAACATGTCACTTCAGTTGAAGAGTTAGTGAATAAGCTGTGTCTTAGGTATGTGATGATTTAAGAACATAAAGAACAGAGGGTGACAAGTCATCAGGTGTCCTTCAAGTGCTGATGTTCAAAGTAGACAGTACATAAATCTTTCAGCAAATTGTAGAGAGCCAATTTATCTGTCATTCACGTCACTGCAACCAAACGTGAAACGAAGTACATGTGGGACAGACTGCAGGCTGCCTGATGGTGCAGCTCAGCTTCGTTGCAGCTGCACTTGTACAGACAGGACGTGGGAGAAAGACTTTATACCTTTTGTTTGATTAAGATTGGCTCAGATGTTTAGTGTTTCAATAAGATGTGACCACAGAAAAAGCTAACGTTTAATCTCTTAACTGATACTATTTTCTTTTTTTGTTTGTTTCATTATCTAAATAAGTTCCTTATAAATAATTAGGAAACATTTTTTATTCATTAAATGTATGCAGAAGGTGTTCTTTACATAAATGGTGAAAACAGACATCTTTTAAAATGTCGCTCATTGTTCCCTGATGGCTGGTGGCTTTTCAGCACCACAGTCTTTGATATGAGCAAAAGGTAAGTGCCTTCTTTTGGGCATAGACTATCATTCATTTTTTTAAGCAAGGTTAATTTGTTGCAGCCCCTAAGGATGAATTCTTTAATATTGTCGTAAGGATCATCTTCCCATGAGTAATTACCAGAATTGATCATGGAGTGGTCAAGGAGAGCAATAACATCTCAAGTCTTTTATTTCAACTGGGACACTGGGCTCCTATGAGCATGAAAAGCAGCTGATTTCTGACAAAAATGTTACTGTACAACTTAATGGACTCCTTGGCAAAGTGTAAATGAAAAATTTACTTAAAATTTGGAGTACTCCTGGTAGATTTTATGCTCAAACCATCATTGAATGTAACTTAATTAGACAATAACAAAGTTTTGACATCAGTTGATTGTGAAAATCCTTTAATATTACCTATCTTGTAATTAGTTTTTGTAAGGTGATAATCCCTTGTCTGTGGAACAATGCAGTGATCTTGTTCTAATTGGGTTCAGTGCAGTTCAAGCAGTCTGTGCGCTACAGAGGGAACTAGAGAGCATGAAGCTGGAACTCCTTACTTCTGTCATGCATGGCTCTCTTCCCTTGACCAAATTTGAATCTATTTATATCAAGAAGCACTTGTGCTGAGCTGACTCATCGTTTAGGGAAGTGCCTCTCAGGGAATGCACTGGGCTGAGCTCTGGAAACCTGCAGGAGCCATCACTGGGAGCTGCTGCTTGGCTGGCTCCCGTTCCTAGTGTTTATCCATTATGTAATGCATGAATGTTTAGTGTAACATAACTATCTCTAAATTGGTGTTGAGTGGCACCTTTGAAAGCACCCAGCGGTGAAAGTAGTAAATAGTTGTTGATAGCTCTTTGTTCTAGCTTCCAGTGTTTGAATCATTACATCACGTGTCAGAAGGTCATCAATGCACCTCTTAGCGGCTCTGTGGATATCACAGAGAAACTGTGGAAACTGGATATGATTTGTTGGTTCATGTGGGATTCACTGTGGAAATATCTTTACCAAGTGAGAGAATCTATATATATTTATTTGCAAAACTATATTTTAATACTTTTTATGACAAGGAATGAAAACTGCAAGAGCTCACAGACTGGTTCTGTCTCAGAGTTGTTTACAGAGGAAGATGTGCTTTAGCTTCCTAGTTTTATAGTGGTCAGGTGACTTTCGTTGACCTCTGCTTATTTGTTTCTATATTACAGTCCTCAGAAGAGGAACAGCTCCTAACTTATCAGACTGCTGACAAAAACGTATATGCAGAAGCAAAAAAGAAACCTTAGTGGTGTCAAAATAGTATCCTGAGCTTTCGTATTTTTGTTACCTTTTACAGTGTAAAGGAAATGAAGATGGAGAGACTGTTGTTGTTGAAAAAGACCATTTTATGGATGACTTTTTCCAACAGGTAAGATTTTACATACCTTTCTGCTACACATGACTTAAAATTTTCTTTGTTTATTAATTTCTGTTATTTCTGTAAGGTTCTGTTTTAATAAATAGTGGAGGCTCTAGACTGTGATTTCCTATGTGCCACGCAGCCCCCTCCTCAGTGTTTTCCTGGATTCTTTTCCATGGTGCATGAAAGTATGAATGTGGATTTTATTGTTTTGAATGTAAAGCTGTTTAAATGTCCACGGGGAGTGATTGCAGTCTGAAATTTGTCGGATATTTACTACTGTTGTGATTGAATACTTCAAGATTTTTAGTACCAAAGATGTACTACAAAGACCCAACAACTTGACATGTGATTGTTCTAATGCTTTCACTGACATATTTCTCGTCTTCTAGGTTGAGGAAATTAGAAATAACATAGCAAAAATAGCACAGAACGTGGAAGAAGTGAAAAAACAGCACAGCATTATCTTGTCAGCACCAAATCCTGAAGGGAGTGAGTATCACTTCTTCTAGATTTCAAGGATGTGTGACCAGATAGCTGAAATAAACAAATTTGATTTCAATCCGTCAGAGTAGAACTCAGCATTTGTTCTCAACACCTCGTAGTCCAAGGCATGCCTGTGCTTTAGGCAGGTTTTAGTGAGCTGGGAAGAAAAGATGCAGAGGTATTTTTGTGGAGTAGTTTTTTGTGGACCTGATTCTTATGTTATGAACTTCTGTTTTTAATTTTTTTTTCCTCCACATCTTCCTTATTTGTGCACGGATGTGTGTGTATTCTTCTGAGTGATTTCTGCTGATTGCTTTTTTTGCTTCAAGTCATAGAATCAATGATCGTCTGGTTAATGAAGCATTTGTCTGAATCCTTAAAATCCATGGTCCTTGCTAACTCATCTGGTAGAGCACAGTTTTAAGCACAGATGCAGTAGTACATCTGTAGTGTGTAGGAAGATGACATTGCTTGTGATGACATTGCTAGTCATAGGCAGTGTCTAAAGACTACTTGAATGTTTTTTGAGAAGAAAACTTTCTGATATGTTATCAATCATCAATAGTTCTGGACTTTTTTTTTTAAGGAACAAAGGAGGAACTTGAAGAATTAAATGAGGAAATAAAGAAGATTGCTAATAAAATTCGAGCTAGGTTAAAAGGTAAGTTGTGGGGAGAAGTACTGCCGTCGCTTGTAACACATTCAGGATGCTAGCAGTAGCAGTGTTACAGATGTAATGCATTGCAGCTGAATTTATAACCTTTAACTCTGTTCTGTTTCGATATGTTGGCTGGTCCCCAAATCTTAAAAAAAAAAAAAAAAAAAAAAAAAAAAAATAATTAACTGTTTTAATCATTGAGCCCTGAATATAATGTTTCAGCTTTTTGCATGTGTTGATACAGATTTGGGTCTTGCATGGTTTTGAGTTCCATAACTCAACATATTTAATTACTGTTGGTATTGGAGGAGAGAACTGCAATGAACCATGACAAGGGCTTCTGTCTCCATACGTTTTATGTGCTTCTCTTTTTGAATACATACCATCAGGACCTTACTCTGTCTCTCTCACTGTTGTTGTGCTTCCTCCTTGTTGCTTAATATCTTGCTCCATGATGTCAACATTATACTGGAACCCTGATAGTGTGTTTTTGCAATACCTGTGTTTTCTTATTATTTAACCTGCTGAAAATAAAAAAAATAAACTTCCCCATTCTTGCCAAGTGATGTGCAGCTTATGTCACTTACATTATTCTCTACTTCATCCTTCCTTAACATGCTTCATAGCTGATAAATACCAGGTCTCAGCACAGCCTGCCTACTCAGGCAAAGAGCTTGTTTGCAGAAATAACCTAGAAAGTACAAAGTAATTTCTCTGTGTAAAAATTTATTTTGTGACTGAAATGTTGTTCTGGGAGTAGTTCAGCTGCAAAGAAGCAGACCGTGTGGCAAATAAGAAACTGCTCTATAGCATCTTGTATTTGAAATTTCTTTAGGCCAAGTAATTTTATTGTGAGTTTCCCCATAGGTGTTCCTTTACCTCTTCAGCATAAGTTTTGAAGTATATTGATTCTTTGAATATTACTGGATTGCAATTACTGTATACTTTTGTTCTCTAAACAGTTAGATATGGTGTTTATCACTTAAAATGTAAAAGCAACTATTTTGTTAGATGTTTTTGAGCTGTCCCCAGAGTAAGCAGATACTTGTGTGACTCTACAAAAGGTATTGACATAATTACTGTTTTAAAAAAATAAGTAATTTAAAATGGATATAAATTTCACTTCCTTTCCCCCTCCTCACCACCACCACATGCATGCAGAAAATGTGCATGCAAGAAAAGTTAAGCGTGTTCATGTGGTGCTTGTATATGAAAAAAGTAAAAACGTGTAGTGTTTACAGAACGACTGAGCTGCACTGTGGAATTCACACTATCTCATGTACTGTATTTGCTCTGTTGATTCACACTATTTTTGTATTTTCTCTTAGCTATTGAACAAACCTTTGATCAGGGTGAAAATGCGAATCGAACATCAGTGGATCTCAGAATAAGAAAAACTCAGGTATGATAACAACAAATTTAAAGAAAATGAAAGGATGATACTTAATCAGAGAATAAGTTTCACTTTCCTGTTTCAGAACTCCACGTTCTGTTTGATTGAAATTTCGATACCACTTTTGATTGTTGTACAGTCATATTTGCTCTATTAAGAAAGAAAATAAACCTTTTTGCACATTTTTAAATCCTGAAAAAAACAGCACTCTGTATTAGCTCACAAGTTTGTGGAGGTCATGACGGAATACAACGAGACCCAAACTCTTTTTCGAGAGCGCAGCAAAGGTCGGATACAGAGGCAATTAGAGATAAGTAAGTGACCTCAATATGCTTTTTTAAGATAAAATAAAAATAAATATTGTATTGTTATACCTCCCTTTTTTCTTATTACTTAAAGGTGGTACTGAAGACCATGCACCTTGGCTTCTTGAAGCATGTGAAAGGGAGAGGAAAAGAAACATTTCTGTTACAGAATATTAAATAAAAATCCTTTATTTCTTAAATTTTCAGTCTTGTAAAAGAAACATTTAGGTTGCATGCAAAAGCTGTGTTTTCAAGATAGTGAATGTATTCTACAGTGACTGTTATGAAAAGTCATTCAAAAACATGATAATCAGGAAGTCATCCTTTTCATGTTGTGCTGTTTGTGTCAGTAAGAATCTGTTTTTGTTTGTTTTTTTTGAAAACTCATCTGCAGTAAAATCAGTAGTACTGTTAGACATACTGTAATCGTCTGTTGAATGATTCACCCTCTTATTTCATTAGTGATAATTGTTGATTCCTAAAGGCCCCTAACTTGGACCTACAGCATCTATTTCAGAATATATCCAAAGCACCCATAACACCTTGTAGCCGAAGTTAGACTTGTGAATATTTCCCATAAAAGCAAATACATATTTAATGAAAAATGCAAACAGAAAAGTTAGCAAATTGTAAGACTTCACTTCTGCTTCTCTTTTCTTTTTCTTTAGACTTGCATACTGAGTATGATTTTAATTTAGCATTTCAGTGTAATTTTTTCGGCAAATTAAATCCTTTGCTCATGTTCCTGAGGGAAGGGACCCTAACATCTCAGTGTCTTTTAAGTTAATGTCATAATGAACTAATTTGCTCCTTTAGCTTCAGCCCTAAAAATTTTAAGGGAGGATTTGCAGCATTCTTGGGTATTAATGTAATTAGCATTAAAACTGTAATTTTCATCTGTTAAGATGAAGTTGAACTAATACAAATCTGTAATCTTCCTATGTAAAAAGTTGAATAACTTGAATATGCGGTGTAACTCAAGACAATTGCATCCATCTTACCACTGCAGTGGCTAACGAGCAGTAGTGAACAGCGTAAGTTGTTAGGTGAAATATGAAAACTGAAAATGAGGGTAGTCTCTAGGTAGTAATCTTCTCTACATGGGATTTGAATGTAATCTTGGGTTAGTTGCTAGATTCTGCTTTCTGTGAAGATTCTGTCCCTTGCCACAGTGGCTGGTGGGAGGGAGGAAGCAAATCAGGTGTCAGTGCAACTTGGTTGTGTAGGTAAATACTGAATCTTATGTAAATACTCTGAGTTCTTCCTTGTGCAGAACACCCAGCTGGATTCAAATGTATGTTGTAAACATTTCTGGTCAAATTCTTCAATTTGACCAAAAAAACATCAGGAATTCTTCACCCTACTTTTGAATCTAGTACATTTATCTGGCTACTACTTGATATTTTCTGGTTTTTAAATGTAAGGTATGTAAGGTAGTATGTAGGTCACTGCATAAAGTAATGCCTTTCATTTATTACTGTGGAAACTACAACAGATACAAAGAGTGCAACAACACTATTTGATAGAGCAAATTCTCAGTTACAAAGCACTATTTTTCTGCATAGTTACCACTATTAGCTGTGCATTTTTTTTTTGCCAGCTTTGAACAGGAGCCTGAATGTAGCTCTTGTAAATATCTGCTCTAGTGGAGGTAACCCACTGTTGCCACTGCTGAAACTCACCATACACTACCTCTCTGTTCATCCATGAATGTCAGTGTGTGCAGTTCTTTCTGCACAGATGAATTCAGTGACACACCTTTGCTCCATTTGCATTCCCTGTCAGATGCCTTCTTGTCAGGCTGCCTCTCTGCTGTCATTTGTCATGTGGCAACAAGGCATAAACGAATATTGGCAAAAAGGTTCAGCTTCTCCTGCCACCAACATCTGCCTCTGGCATCATGGGCCTATATAATAAACAGGAAGCATTACTTTTGGATTGGCCCTGATACCCAGTAATGGCTAAGTATTGCTTTTTTTTATCTTAAAAAATTGCAATACAAGAATTTTCTCTTGTTATCCTTCTGCAAAATTGTATTCATTAATATGTGATGTTATATGAAGTACTGTTATATTTATTCTAGCTGGAAAGACCACCACTGATGAGGAACTGGAGGAAATGTTAGAGAGTGGTAATCCTTCAATTTTCACTTCTGACGTATGTATTTCTGGTCCAGTCATGTCAATAATCTGTTCTGTTTGTTCTGCTATTTACAAGTGTGTGTCAATGCTTAAGTGCTTATGTCTGTATCTTTTGTTCTACCAAAGATTATATCAGACTCCCAAATAACTAGGCAAGCTCTGAATGAAATTGAGTCACGGCACAAGGATATTATGAAACTGGAGTCCAGTATACGGGAGCTACACGAAATGTTTATGGACATGGCTATGTTTGTTGAGACTCAGGTAAATGAACCAATTAAAATACATTTACTGAAGTTAGATTTTTTTTTTGTCTTCGTCTTTAGAAATGTGTGGAAGTAATGCAGATCTGTTTCTTAGTGTTTTTGGGCCACAGTTAGAATATGTGAAAGTTCATCACTAGGATTTGTGTTTTGTTTTGAACAAACGTACAGTTGAGATGTACTGATAGTGTGTTTTGGATAACTAAGCCTAGAATTTCTTTGAATTTCTCATTGATATGCTGACTTGTAAGAATTAAACATAGCAAGGATTTTTGCAACTTGCGTATAATACAAAGGCATGATTGTTACAATAAGCACAAGTATAAAGGGATCAGTTGAAAAGTAATTCTGTTTGTCTCTCATCCATGTTCTTTATCTTGAGGTGTGTGTAAACTTGTTACTTGCAATCTTTGTATACATATTAGCTAACTGTAGTACTTTGAACTTCTGTTCTTAGAGGTTTTTTATTTCTGCTTGAAATAATGCTCAGGAGAAAAACTTTTCTGAAGAGGACCTTTTCTAAATTGAGTTTTGTTTTTAAGTCCTGTGTTGCTTTAATATTAAATATATAGGCAGGGCAAACTGGTAGTAGTGTCCTAATGAGCTAGAACTAAACAAAAAATTACTTGTGCATCATTCTTTAATGCTTTGCTGTTTAATGCTGCTGATTTTTTTCTTCTGATGGACAGAAATGCAGGTAATAGATTTACTGTTACTTTTCACAATCCTCCATTTCATTTCTAAATTTCATTCATCATAATTAATTTGAATTTATGTGTTGATGTTGTAAACACTTAGATAACCATTAGACTTTGTATCAAAATAGTCAATCTCTCTCCCCGCTTCAAAGCACCATCAGGAATGTGTGACTTTTTGGTATGTCAGTTTTAGACTGGACATCTGAAAACATATCTTTGAATGCAAGGTATGTTTTACCAGTCAACAGAAATACACCTCCCTTGCCCATGAACATCACTTCTTTGCTTAGACCTTTGAGCTCTTGCTTCTCATTCCCTTTTTTCATTGCATATCAAAGCACAAAATGTGTCTGCCACTAATGTAAAATATTGTGATTAAATGATGTTGTTATCCTGTAGCCTTTTTTCTCAGATTCATGGAACAGGGATCCTGGATGCCAGTAATAAACTTTTTTTTGTTCAACATTTAAGGGTGAAATGATCAACAACATAGAAAAGAATGTGATGAGTGCAACAGATTATGTGGAACATGCTAAAGAAGAGACAAAGAAGGCGGTTAAATATCAAAGTAAAGCAAGAAGGGTATGTGGTCTTCTTGTGATTGTCCTAGTTAACAAGTTAACATTGCGTGCTGTTAAGCAGCCTTCAATTTTAGTTGAACTTTTTTGTCTGATTCAGGTAGAATTAATGGATGTACTGTACTTATTTTAAATATTTGGTATTTAAAATTAGAAAACATTGGGTTATAGGGCTTTTGTTATAAATCAGTACATGGCAGAGGGAGATTTACCAAAGGATTTTGCAAACCAAAACAAAAACAGTGTGTTGAGTTTGTTAGATAGCTTTAATACTAAAACTTGGTGTTACTAACAGAGAAAGGAACTTCCTTTTATTCTTATGCCTGTTTTATTAACTATAGTTAAACGCCAGAAGAACCCACTTGTGTACTTGTGAGCTGTGTTTTTTTTCCTTTTTGATCACTACATCAGTGTTAATCACAGTAACTTACATGTAAACACTGTTTAAAAATGTTTTTTTTCTTACACCAGAAGTTTAGAAAAAATTTTAGCCAATTCAAGAATGTTGTGAGCTTTAAAAATGAATGGGGATCTGAAAACTGACTTTTAAAAATTGAAAATAAATACAAGTTTTAATGTGCATGATATTAAAATAATACCTTGTTTTTGACAGAAAATGTGGATTATTATCATTGTGTCATTGGTGTTGATCGTCGTAATTGGTCTAATTATTGGTTTGTCTGTTGGTATTCGGTGATGCTTGGGTAACTTCAGCATGCATGACTTCCTGCCAGTGTGGCAGTAAGTAACTAATCAACTACTGTTTTGTTCTGGTAACTTCTTTGGTGTACTAACTCTTAATATGCTTTCTGTTACTTCTGGAGAGGGGAGCAAACTTGACACTAATTGGTGACTACTTCTCACTCTCTGCATGCTGTAAAAGTTCCATGCATGTAGATGCTGAAAACTGACATCTAGTGGTGAATTGCTAAATTTACAGATTGCAGTCGTACTCCTGATGATCTGTAAACACAAAATGAAATGAGAAGGGGGAAAAAAAACCCCACAACTTATTGTCTCAGTCCTTTGAATTTGTAATATATTTCAAGTTCACATCAACAGACTACATTAAGATACAGATTACAATTGGAACTTTGTCAGGTGTGGTCTTCTCTGGTTTTAAACAGAGCTTGCATTGAAGTGTCTGCAGCCATAAAGCTGGCTATTTTGTGTTGCAGAACATCCTAAAATGAAGCTCTTGTATTAATAGTAGACCAAATGAAACCAGATGCCAATGTATTTGTAAGAGAAAATCTGCAGAGATTCAAACCTGAATTTGAGGATGTAAATGTGAGAATTCTTTCAATCTTCGTACTTTTGCTATACTAATCTACTTCTTATCATAATAACATCTAGCCAGGCTAAGGAGATGGTAGTGATTAACTCAGAAGAGTCCAGCAGAAGCTCAACTTTCTCTCTCTGGGGTCTTCAAAGTGTTTATGAAGGACCATGGGGGAGTGTGTTCATTTCAGGCTTAACACTAGTTTGGAGTTTCTTCTCACCTTTGGTTTATATGCAGATAACAGGCTTTACTGTACTGTTGCTGTCAGAACGACATGATCTAACGTCACACCTCTATGCATATTCATACAACCTTGTAATTTTTGTGCAGCGCTTCTGAGCTGCTAACTATACAGTATTCTTAGTGATGGTTTGTTCAGTTCCCCTGAGTGCAACTGCAAAAGTTTGAACAGGCTACAAATATTTATCCAAGGTGGGCAGCTCTAGGCAGTGTTAGTATATTTGACTTTGATAAGTAGCTGTTTGTTGTTGTGGTTGTTATATGTAATACTTACGGAAGTTGCATATGGGTAATAATTATTCTCAAAATAAAAATACAGAATTCTTACACTCCTTAGCTACTAACTGTGATTGTGTGTTAGAAAAGAATGACTGACAACAGGAAATCATGGCAGTAAGTTTTATTGAAAGAGAAAATCTAAGCTTGAAATAGATACCGGTGTTATCAATTTGCTGTGGGTATGCAGGTATTTAAGTAGTTCTGTATATGACTGGATGCTTCAATCTAAACTTCTTCTTTTTTTTTTTTTTCCAGAAATTGATATTCATAATTATATGTGTAACTGTACTACTTCTGATACTTGGAATTATCCTAGCAACAACACTATCATAGCAAGCGTATTCTAAAAGCTACACGCTTCCAGAAGCTCCAAAAGATATCTTCAGTAAAACCAAACCTTTTTTGATAGAAGATGCCTTACACAGATATTGATGATGACCTATCATTAATGGCTAAAATGAAAACAGTCACTCCTAATGTTTACTTATAAATGAAGATTGGAATGTACCAGGTTATGTATATTTTTGTCATAAACTATACATTTACAGTAAGACTGAAACTTGCTTTTAATCGTTTTGAACTAAAGCAACTTGGATGCTTTCATATTTCAGTGTTACAAACAGTTTCAATAGGGAGTTAAGATACTTGAGTTTTGACTGTTTGAATTTTTTTACTCCTATCGCCACTATAATTCTAATCACAATTTTTATAACCTTGCCCGTGCTGCTTCTAAGTTAGTACTTCTGTGAACATATTTTTAACTGTAGCTATGCCTCTAAATATATTTATTCATCTTAACCTGTCTAAGCATATTACTTAAAGGTTATTTCTGGCAAGTGAGAAAATATTTTATCCTGAAAAGACCACTTTAGATATTTACTGGTCTGCCTCCTACATTACACTTCAAAAAGCAAAGATTTAAAAAAAAAAAAACTTAGCAGTTTTTTTTCTATACGACTATGGCTTATTGCGTTAAATATTTCCTTGTCTTTATATTAGAAAATGTTTTCTGGTAGAAGTAATACAGAAACAAAGCACACAATTTGATCTTCATCAGGTAATTTTACAAATGGTCTTTGTGCAAAATAACAGTTCAGCCTCATTGCTTGCAGGAATGATAGAAATCATACTTGCTTCAATAAAGCCAAGTCAAGATTTGATTTTTCAGAAGCTTGCTAATGTTGTGATGTGAATAGAGCAGACAGGAAGAATAAACACTCAGAAAACTTAAAAACATAAACTAAGACACTGATTTGTTACAAAATGTATGTACTATGTAACATATATGAAGTGTTTTAGTGTATGTGCGTCTGTGTTGTAATACTAGCTTGCAATACTTGTAAGTATGAAAGACTTCAAATGTAACCAAATAACTGCATTTAATGTTAAAGGTTATTTTTGTATTTTGCGTGTAAAATATTTGTAACTTGAATTTTTGATTTCTCATTGTTTAGGATACCCATGTAGATATGTAGATATATTTACACTGTAAGAGAAATAGAGGAAATTATAACATGTGACTTTTAAACGCGATTTGAAACAGTGCTTGTCAATGTTTCCAGATATTAAACTATAACATTATTTGCAATAACTCAGATTAGAATCCTTGAACTGAAGTTTTATGGGAAGTGTCTGAGATCAGTTATTCGCTAAAATGTAATGCAGTCTTTTTGTACTTCGTAAAATTCAACCAAGTTTACAATATATAATATATGTATGAATATCCCTGCTTTGTCCGATTATACTGTGAATATGCTGGAGCTATTCAGATGACAAACATTAAAAACTTAAAAAATTCTCTTTTGCAAGCCAGCCATAAAGAAATTGAAGAAATTAACTTCATTAATGAACTTTTTTTTATTTTACTTTGACATCCAGAACACTCACCAATGATTGTGGGGAAGTTTACGTGCAAAGTAAGGAAAGATTGCTTGCGTGTTTTATCATTCTAGGTAATATATTTTCAATTCTATGGTTTTCTAGATTTTTAAAAATATTAATTATTTATACAAAGTACATTGGGAAGGGAGATCAATTTCATTCAACAGCTGGTTGTCTAAAATAGTGCCCCAAATCCAGTCATGTCAATTCTTTCTTTTTTAATTAATGATGCAGTACTCTGCCCACTAAGAACAGAAATTAGAATGTAGCACTCCATGCCTTTTTATTTTCTTTTGTTATATAGCTGCCTCTGTTTTAAAACAAAACTTGTTTTTCACATAAACCTCTTCATTCTGTTAATATTGTGGAGAACATCTCTAGCCTATGCACGAATAAATTTATCTAAGCAAGTATCTTGTGGCTATTTTTATATTCATGATGTTATTGTGACCTTTGTGAATATTTCCAGTAAGTGTTTGAATAAGGCTGGTGTGCTTTTGCATACCAGCACACACATCAAACAACTGCTGTGTCTTATTCATTTACAGTATTCTCATGTAGCTTGATTAAATATTAAACCTGAAAAATAGAGTAATCGTATAAAGGTACTCATGTATTTTCAAAAAGATCCTTATAGAAGTGCATCTTCACTGTACTGAATTGAAATGATGACCTTGCTTGCCTACCCTAGCTTCTCAGTTAGTAAATAATTGGAAACATTGGAATAGATTCAGAGGGGGTGTACAAGTGTGCTGGTTATCCACCAGTATCTTTTCAGTCACAGTCCGAAACTGCTTGTCAGTGTTTCCAAATATTTAAAATTTAGATTGCAGATTACCACTCTAATAGCTTTTTGCTGACAGGGCATTGAATGGAGTTATCTGAGAGGTGATGTATACCCATTCTTTCTCCTCCAGCTGTGTGCAGTACTACTACCTCTCACCTGCCTGCTTGTCTCCAGCAGCAGTGTTGAGCAGGACCGAGCAGCCTGCTTGGAGCTGACAGCTGCAGCCATGGCTTGGGAGGAACAGCTGCCACCTGCACTGGGGCTCGTCTTCCAGTGCCTTTTCAACCTCCTACTTGCATGTGTCACATACTGAGGTGGGAGCCTTTCTATGGTCAGTGCCATGGCAAAAGCAATACAATCCTCAGTGTAATATTCTTTGAGAGGACAGAGTGGTTGTGCTCTTCTTGTGGTTTGGGAGCTTTTCCAGAGAATTTTTAAGAAAGCATGCCTATGGCTTCATTAATTTAATTTGATACAATGCAGTCTTCACATAGAAGTAAATTTTCTTAGCTTCTTTAGCAACCTCACACCAGTGGAGATGTGCATTGGGAGTAAATACCCAAGTACTTAGGCATTGGGAATTGATGAATTTATCTGACTGTAAGATAATTGAGCAGGTATATTTGACTTAGGTGGGAAAAAAAGCCACAAATACAGAAAGAAACAGCCAGCTGAGCTTAGAATAGGTTGTAAGAGAGAGCCTTCAGTGTTATTTTTCTTTTTTTCCTATTTCAAATTTAACCCAATGTTAAATTGATTTGATACATTCATGTGGCTTGATAAGTGACTACAAATAACCAGGCGTGCTTCTGACTGCAGTCAGTGGGTCAGCCTTTGCACCTGTGAATCTGCTCAGTCTCTTCTGTCACGTACTGTAGCTGTCTCAGTTGCACAGTGTCACTATTTTAGTTACCTCTGTCTAACATGTGAAGTCCTTCCAGACGCACAGTGGTGGTTGTGCAGCATTTACAAATCAGCTTTTTGGAATAAAAAGGCTATTTTATAAGCACTTATAACTACGTTTTGGCGAACAAAAGTACTTCTCAAAGATTTTTTTTTACCAAGGGAAACATAGAAATGGTAAGTACAACATAATTGTTTGCATATTCTAAAGAATGTTTTGTTTGCATTTCTTGGCTGCTTTTGAATCCAATCTTTTTCTTTCATTTCTGTAAGTAGGGGAGGAAAGGTGCATTTTGATGTTCATTAGTAAACAGTTCTTAGAAATTGCTAAGTTGTGATATGAGTAACTAACAATATGTAGCAGACTGTGGACTGGGAGGAAAGCAAGAGTTATGCATAAGAAAACAAACTATATTTACTATATACAGCCTTCAGAGAGAACTTGAGAGTATATTAGCTCAGCCCATTCTGGCTCCAGTAAACTGAGCCGGACCACTTTAAACTAACAGAGGGCAGCTCAATTTAGAGAATATGTCAGAATGGAGGTGGATCAGAAGAGGTGCCATTTATATAACAGCTCGTTTTACAGTCCTCACATGTAATTTCACAGGCAGCTTCGATGCATACTTGTTGAGGTAACTTAGTCTTACTGTACAGAGCTATTGACTTTTTGTAGTTAAAAGGAGTTGAATTACATTGTTCTAATTGAAATCTGATTATATGTTTAATTTCAAACTACAGTCATCAGAATATACTTTAAATAAGGCTATTAAGTTCAACACTGATATGTTAGCATTTGCTACAGCAGTGCAGTAGTATCTTATTAAGTGGTGGTAGTTTAATAAAGGAAAACAAGTCAACATTTACCAGCCTTCTGTTGTAATGGACTCTTACAGGCTTACTGTTAATCCCCAGATACTCCATCATGTGGAAAATGCCTATAAATGCTGACCTTGCAGTAACACAGTAGGTAGTACAATGAAGAATGCTTCCTTGGATTTAAGTATTTTGAGTATGCATAACTGAATGTATACTGAGTAAGATCCCTTTCCTCTGTACTGTTCACTTTTTTTTAATGAGCACTGATTAGGGTTTGGAAGCTAATGTCTGGGAGGCATTTTCATTTCATTCTAGCCTTTTCGATGGTGAAAATTTTTGTTTAGTAGCACATATTGAATAAAAATCTGAATTTTGCAGTAATAAAATATATGTTATGTCTATTATTGCAACCTTCACATACTGTAGGACTGTATTGGCATATATCGTCAGTCCAGTCATGCATATTTATCTAATATTAGCTCTCTAGCTTCTGCAAAACTCGTCTCTGTTCCCTCTGTAGGTTTTTACTCTGATCGGTTTTTACTGATTTCTCTTCTCAAAATTTAAGTAATCATCTTAAAAATTAATTCTCTTATTGCTGATTTTTCTGCTATGTTCTTTTCTGTCCAAAGGATTGAATGATTACTAACTTACTCTGCAGACGTTTTATTCTTGCTACTTTTTTTAATGGACTTCTGGCAGACTGGGACTCTTAGCAGCAGCCTTCTGCAGTGCAGCACACCTATTTGGGACCTGATCAGTGAAATATTTGCCATTTCTTCATGGTGTTATTTTAATTACTGGCAGTACTCACAGAAAAAGAGTTGAAAAAGAGATACTCTTCAAAATGCAGACTTTCCTAGCTTTTGAACCATCTCACTGCAGGTCTTAAAGTTTCTTCCAGTTTCTTCTCTTGGTCTTCTGCTTTCCTTCTGTTGATGCCATTGCTTTTAGAGACATTGTCTATTCTAATAGTGAATCTACATCACGGTATGTGTAGTGAAGAAAAGCAATGGTATGCATGCCTAGTAAACAAGGGCGATTACTGATGACAGAGACTAATCTTAGTTTTATCCACATGGCTGCCAGCCATCTTAAAAGTGTAAATATAGCTGATAGGAAACTGATCTAACTGCATCAGAAAGCAACTGAGGAGAAAAAATACATGGATTAAAAAATCAAACAGCTTTTAACCTTCTGAAAAGTTGTGGGGGAAAAAAAATCAAAACATTCTGGTTCTAAGTTCATGCAGATTTAAACACTGCATTTGCAGCTCGCATCCTTTTGATTTTCCCTTTTGGCAGTTTGTTCACATTAGAGTCAGTGGATGGAATCTCAGAGGAGAATAAAAGCCAGTGTTTTGAAAACTAATGAAGTAATTATCCAAAGCATTATTTACAATGATTACTTAGAAGATAATGAGACCCTTTAATTATGTTTGTTCTGCATAGCTAGCCTTTCAATAATTCAGAGTACTACTGTTCAATTTCCTCTATATTCACTTTGCACATTTTTATTTGGAAAACTGTCACAGCTGTTTGTTATGTGTGAGTATGGGCCCTCATTCTGAATGTTGTTTGTCACACAAGAATCACCTGCTCACTTCAGTTGGAGTAGGAAGTTTTTTAAGTTCAGGCTTCTCTGACTTTTCAGTGTAGTGTGGAACGAAATTGTGGGTGAAACAAAGCTGTGTTGTAGCTTAAAAGTAGCACTACTGTACAGTAACGTGTTAATCCAGTAAGTGAAGTTTGTGCTACTGTTTATCTCCTTACAGGTAAAGTTTGAGTTTGGTTTCATTTTGGGAATCATGTTGATTTTGTTTGAAGCGTAAGTTTGTTTTTAAATAGCCTTGCTCACTTGTCTATAAAAAAAAAATTCAGATCATTAGTATTTCAGCAGGTAATAAATATTTCACTAATATATTCATAAGCAGCCGTGAACTTGCTGCTAAAATAGACAATTCTGCTGAAGCACGTGCCTAAATGCTACAGTCCCCTAGGAGATCTGTCTTTTGTCACAGGCTTTATCTTGGTACACCAATGAAGCACAGGCTCGCTATGTGCAGTGATGCTACTCCAGATTAGTAGGGCTGATGATGTAGTCACTGATGCCTAGAAATCAATAAGAAGAATGTTAATCTCAGAGAGGCTCCAAAAGCTTGGAGTTTGTCTGCTGGCAGTTAATTCAGACTCAAATTGACTCCTGTTGGAATCTTTCCATCAACTTGGAGAGATGCTGCAAAGGGCAACGGATCTTATACTTACCTCTGATTACTTGGAGGCAGATATGCAGCCTAAGCAGAAGTATATTTTAATTAAACTGGAGTATATTATAAATACAGAAGAACAGAACCATGGTAGGGTAAGGTAGAAGTTAAAATCTCAAGGAGCTTTTTAAGCAATATAGTTCTGTTTCACTTGGTCACTGTGAAATTAAATTTAAAAACAATGCATTCAAGTGGTGATTACATTTACATTACATTTACACTGTGGCCATTAGCCATTACTCAAATATAAGAGGATATGTATCTCAGTGGCTAGTACAGAAAGTACTAGTTTCAAAGGTAAAAAACACTGACTACTCATTTGCAATAAAACTTTTCAGAGGAAAATGGGAATCTTTTGAGTTCCACTTATTTATCCTGTGTTATTTGGGTTATCTTTTGTTATTTGGGTTATCTTTTGAGAAGTCCAACCGGGAAAAATGGGAAGACACTTCTTTCCAGGAGTGTCAGAATGTTGACCCAGCCTCCCTAGACCTTGGATTAAAGACACAAGGTGGGCCATGAATGTTTTGGAAGGAAGAGAACAAAGGTGTTGAGAAAGGAGAAATATTTGAGTAGTATGTCTGTTGCCTTGAAGTTGTAACTAGTGAAATGATGCTGTCTGACTTTATTAAGTCAGA